ACTATATATATTTTTTTGTTCTATATATATATATATATNTGTGTGTGTGTGTNTTAGTATATATATGTGTGTGTGTGTATGTATATATATATATGTGTGTGTGTATGTATATATATATATATATATATATATATATGTGTGGGTGCGTGTGTGTGTGTATATGTATATGTATATGTAAATATACTACACATACATAAATATATAAATCCCCTCTCTCGTTACTTGTTGCACAGCACGAAAGCAAAGGACGACTTCGGCTACACGCCATCTGAGGCGACACTTAAGACCATTGAACGTACTGTGCGGAAGTACAAATTGGCGCAGAATGCGAACATGCGTGGACTAAAGCTGTTGCGTAGACACAGCTCTAAACGGTTGAGTAGACTCAGGAGTAACGGGGTGGAGAGACGGGCCAACGACAGTGACAACGATTAAAACGCACCAATCATACGTAGTTTTAAAAGATTGTACCATGTATGGGAATGTCTACTATGTATGGATTAGAATTACCATATATGGGAAAGTTTCCATGTATGGGAATGTATTGAATTATGACCGACGCATAGTCGAGCGCAGTCCTCGAGGTTGTGCCAGTTACAGTTACTTTTATGACGAGCACTACGGTTGGCTGTACTTCTAATTTTGATATGATAATTCCCATACTTTAGTTATCCTATTACCATACTTGCCATATAAATATAAGTCAGCAACCCTATTACCATACTTACGTTACGCTTTTAACATGATTCAGTCACCCTATTACCATAATTCAGCCACCCTATTACCATAGTTTGGTAATAAGATACTGCTGTTAGAGGGGAGCATAGATTTCTGGTATATGTTCCTTCAGAAAATGGATGAAGTTTATGTGTGTGGGAAGTAGTAATTGGTGATATTGTAGTGAGCAGTGAAGTAGTGTAAGTAAGTGGTTTCAGTCACCCTAATACCATAATCTAACCACCCTATTACGATAATTTAGTTTTCCTCTGTCCATACTTCAGTTACCCTTTTAACATAACTCAGCAACACTATTACCATACTTACGTTACCCTATTAGCATGATCCAGTTAACCTATCACCATACTTCAGTTATTCTATTACCATAAATCAGCTATCGTATAAACATAATGCAGTTTCCCTATCAACTTAATTCAACATGTCTTTAATCGTACAGTAGTCTCGTATTGCATATGCACACATTGTACCGAACAGTGGTCCTGAGTTCAGCTCGATGCGCGTGTGTGCGTAATGTTTTCTTACCTGCTCAACCAATCGTGCATGCGAACATACCTCATGTATGCATATAACCCCGTATTCATTCTCTCATCATGTCATGTCATTTGCTGAATTACTTTATTACTTATAGGTGCGATATCTGAATGTGTATACATGTCCAGAAAGCCCCCTTCCCCATTACAACGGTTTTAGACTGCTGCCCATGTTCTGCTTCCTATTAACTTGTCGCGTCGCCCAATATACTGAACTGAAACATTTCAGACGTAAGCCCTGGTTTTATGTTCAGGTGTGAGTGCTGCTGCCCAGCTCGACGTCGAACGACTCATGCCAGACTACACACACTCATGTATTTGTACAAACACGGCCAGAGCAACACTGCCATCAGTACATGCCACATCTCCATAGCAACCGTATCTGTATAACATACTACATCCACCTAGCAACCGTACCTACAGAACGTACTACCTCTACTGCTGCTCCCACGCCCATTGGTCCTCCTTCACAGGCGGGGCTGACTCAAACACTCTGATGAAACTCTGTGCCCCCTGCGCCCCAGAGAACACCACCTCGCCATTAACCATGAACGTGGGCACGCCATGCACACCCCTCATTGCGTTGGTGTGTGCGTCTGATTTGGTCTTGGCACACATAGCTGGGTCTGTCACGTATCGTTGCGTGCCGTCTCTGTCCATGCCTGCTGCTACGCCTATGTCTATGACTGTCTGTGCGTCGAGGAACACTCCATCGGTGAAGTATGCCTGGAATAACTTCTCTTGCACCTTGTTTTGGAGCACACTGCCCCCTTTTCCAAAGGCCAGGTGCATCAGATTGTGTGCGTGGATGGTGTTGGGTGTCCTGTCGGTCTTCCCGGTGAAGTCAATGCCCACTTTCTGGCCCATCATGCGCATGTTTTGGCCTACCCGTGGATTGGTGGGTGTATCTGGGCTCTTCAGTGTGCCTTCTATAGGCGTCTCTGACCGCAGTTGAAAGGGATACCATCGCACGTGCACATTGAATTTGTCTTTAGTCTCGTTGATGGCGGCCTCTAAGTGGCGTTTGCCTATCCAACAGTATGGACATACTATGTCGCTGACCACCTCTACGAGTATGGTCTTCAAGGCTCCGGACGACATGTTTGTATTTAAAAAATATACTCGAAGTACTATTGTGATATGTGAAAGTAGGAACAAGTGCTATGGATATAGAACTATAGCGGCAATGACGACCGATAATACTTGCCGAGCTCTTATATACTGTCAACGATAGAAAACCTCGTGTTTGTTATTAGTAACAGCAGAAGCCATATAAATATATGTGTAGAGTGAAGCCATAGGTACAGATTTACACCATGATGCGAATACAAACACAGGCACACAAATACATATTCACAATACATTGTTCATTGAATACATACTTACAAACAAACTTCTTTGAGTTGTGTAGCGTGCCACATCACTTCGGGAACAGTGTTCCAATTATGATAAGATCGGGATCCAATGAAAACCAGTCAGTGATTATTGATGACCCGTGCGGTACTTCGTCACCAGAAATGCTATTTACCCACCAGATACGTTATTCCGCACCAGTTTTTAGATATCGTAAATAGTCTTTTATGTATTTATTTTAACGTTCTACTTACAGTCAGTTATCCCATCCGTTGTTCTCCTGCATTTGAGGGTGTATGGCTGTACTACATACAGACAGTCTCTCGGTATACCGTCATAAGCTACTGCCTTAGCTGTGCAGCAAACAGTACAAGCGGCAGCCATGAGCAACACCTCTCGCGTGCACGATGGACTGCGCCTAACTGTAGTAGGGGGGTTAGGGTTTCTTGGGTTTCTGGCTTATTCCGCCTGGGTGGGTGTGGTTGCATGCTTTGTCCCGGCATTGCCTCTGTTCCTGTTGGTTCCGGCTGTGTGGCGGCAATGGGTCGACTTTGTAGGCGGGTCTTGGCTGGGTTTACCTACGGTAGGTGTAATGAAGTATTCTGAGTTCAACAGAGATAGTGCATTTGTATTGATTCATTGCGATACCAGGCCATTGACTTTCATGGAGTTGTAGTTGTAGTTGTAGTGTTGCCAGGGGCCCACTGCGTTTGTCCGGATACGACCGAGAGGGCTCATTGACGTATGCGAGGGAATTTTCAAACTGTAGCGAATCATGGTTTGACATGGTAGACGTGTTGGTGTCTTGGTTCAATAAGCATTTCTCAGCAGATTGTAAACATGACCATAGATTTATAGGCAAATGATAGTTATTATGTGAATGTGTACATATACACAGGTATTCAATATGATATTTGTATAACCTCGAATATATAGAATTATATAAATTTAACTTAAAAGAAAAACATCTGAAACAAATCACCTGTGAAATTATATAATTATTTGGATGTATATATATATATATATATATATATATATATATATATATTAATATATTATAGTTGTGTTGTGTTGTGTGGTGTGTG